CCCTCGATGACCCACTTGACTTCCCCACCCCCCACCCCCCCCGGGCGACGGTTGCAGGTATTTGGGTTGTGGTTTTGTAGGTATTGTGTTGCAGGTATTTGGGTTGCAGGGGTTTCTAAGAAAACCAGTGAAAAAAAAAAGCAGATAAGTGATTAAAGGTGGGGGCTTTGAGGTGGGAGAGGTGGAGGGGGATATGGGTTTTTGGGGAAGGAGATGCGCGGAGGCGGGAGACTGAGGGTGGTGAGGGAAGAGGCGGGAGAGGGGTGGAATTCAAAACTCAAACCCTAGAGAAGGAGAGGGAAGGAGGAAATTGAAAAAAGGGTGTCAGGGAGTGTGTTGGGGTTGGTGTGGAGGAAGAAGAAGAGTGGGAGAGATGGGTAAGGGGGTGGGGACGAACGGACGGGAAGGAAGAGATGGGTAAGGGGGTGGGGACGAACGGACGGGAAAGAAGAGATGGGTAAGGGGGTGGGGGTGGGATGTGGGGTTGCGGGGAAAGGGATCTGGGTTCGGGTTTTTTTGGTTTTTTTAAATTTTTTTTAAGGTTAATATTATAATATTGTTAATGTATAAAAAAATTATTATTTTTTGCCACGTGGCAGCCACATCAGCACAAATGTGGCAGCAACGTCAACATTTAACAAACCATTGGATGGAAAATCTAATAGAGGTATTATTTTGAAATAAAATAGTAGTTAAGGTATGAAAGTGAAATGTTTTAAAGATGTTGTAAGGAATTGAAATAGACCCCAAACCTGAAGTATGAAAGTGTAATTTATCCTTAATTAAATTAAATTCTTAATTAAATTTATATAATAAAATTCATCTATATAAAAATATATAAATAGGTTTTATTTATTTATTAAAAGATGGCATAATGAGTGTCAAATGAAGGGCAATGTTATGATAATCAGAAACAAGTGAGGGCATAATTGGTAGAAAAAATCCATTCCGGATTCCTAAAGTGTCAAGAAATTGAAATACCTCCCTCGTGTAGGGAGTCCAATTCCTCCAAAATTAGGAGTTGAATTCCTTAATGCGTGTGGACTCCACATGTATTTTGATATCCTAAGATTACGTAAACAAAGATGTATCCCATAATCGGAATCCAATTCCGTAAATTGATTCTGATTATGGGTACATAAACGTGCCATAGAGCAGTAACTATCCTCTAAGCACTTCTCATATATCACAGAAAGGGAACTGCACCTCACATTCTTGAAAGGCCAGTCGAACAGTCAACATTGTAACCATCTTTAAGGACGCCATACACTGCTGCTTTTCCACTGGCTAGACATCACACAACAATTTCGATCACAGACAAGAAATCGTCACAGAAATTCAACGAATCAACATTTACAAGAACTAACACACAGGTTAAACAGAAGTGTGTCCCAAAATGAAAAGCAATAAGATAGAAAACCAACCATCAGGGCATGACAACTCAGGATTCATGCCAGGGTTTTGCCTCCACAACCTGAACATATAGCAATGCACCCACCTGTGAAGTAACTGACTAGCCGTTAATAAACAGTGCAAAAAATAAAACAAAGAACTGAATTTGAAGTTGAAAGAAATTAATAAGCTATTGTGCTAACTGCTAACAACCAAATTACAACAATGAAAATACTACAATTTCAAGCAGCTTTTCTACGTCATTCCAATTGCGGTTTTAACTACCGCATAATTGTTTCATAGCTTTCAACTGAACTTCCATTGAAGAGATGTTGGACTGGTTTGGTATTACTGTGCTTTGAAAAGAAACTGCTTTTGTTGTGTTGTGAGAATAAACTTATTTTTGCTGCTTCACGTTTTTAGTTTTTCTTTCATCCAAAACTGTGAAAATAAGTTGTTTTTAAGTGTTTACCAAACACCTTTTTGAGCTCAGCTTTTTTTTATACCCACTTTTTATAAAAACATATCATTATCAAACCAGTACGTAACCATGTTCCTTGTCTCTCTCTCACCAATGCCCCCCAATGAAACAAAATCTGTTTAATGAAACTTTATTTGTTTTCTAAAAAACATTTTCTAACTACACTGGAGCCTAGTAATGTTCTAATTACTTGTTTAACATGACTATGAACATCATTTAAGTTGCAGCAAGTTAGAATCAGTCACTAATAACAAGATTATGACAAACTTTAAGTTTATAAAAGCTCCCAACAGCTCCCTCCCAAATATACAACTTCTGTTTTTACTTGGGAGTAGTACCCACTGGTCTAAAACAAGATGTTTCGATTGTGAGCGAAGTATTGAGGCTACTGATGTTAAGTAGATCATAGAGTTGATCCACAATTAGTAAGTTTCGACAGTTAAGCAAATTTAAGACTTGGTACTTAAACCATATTTAGTAAGCCCACGACAACACACACTTGTACAATTTTTTCTTTTCTTCAAATATTCATGTTTTCTGTATACTTATAAAAAATACAGCAACGCAACATATATAGACGTAACCTTGATCTAATTTAGTCTTTGATACATAATTATCAAAAACGTGTTTTCGGTATTTGATCAAATTTAATCTTTGATTAAGAGCATTCATCACTCTTTGTACTCAAGGCGTCGCGAGGGGCCCTATATTCATGTCTAGGTGGGCAATGAGGGTTCGAAGTTCAGAACTTTAGCAAATACCAACATTAAAATTTGATAACTAACTAAACCTTGATCTAGTAGAGCTTCTCCTTTCAATATCGAAATATGTCCCAAATACAAACATCACCTTTTACTTAATTAAATATTAATTAGACTAAATATATTAATTAGTTAATTAACAATTTAGGGTGCATTTCCCTTTTTAATGTTAAATGAACATAAGTCATTTGCACATTGCCGATATTTTGGTGTTACATTAAGACACAGCTTTTCGTTTACCAAACAAAAACAAAAACTAAAAACTAAAAAACAAAAAACAAAATTACTTTCTCCTATGTTAAGAAACGAGCTTGTCATTTCAAACCAGTGTTCTAAAAATAGGCCTATGCGGTCCCCTAGGCGCTAGGCGATGGCCAGCCGCCGAGATTAACCTCTAATTGGGAAGAAAATCGGGGAAGGGATTAGGCGGGTGCCGAGGCAATCTTGGCGGCGCTTGGGCGGCCTAGGCGGGTTACTTGATGGCCTAGGCAGTTTGACCGTTTCAATTCCTTCTGTTTTTAAGTGAGTAAGGAGAAATGTAGAGCTATCTGTGTTATGAACTCCAGCGAAGAAGACGAGCGGAAGAAGACTCTTTGATTCTCACTCCACGTGACCACTATCATGTCTCAGTGTTCCATATTTAATATATTTTGAATTGTCGCCCAATTAAAATTAGACACCTAGCAGTCCTATTTGACTGATATGTATAAAGAAGGGGACAACTAGCATGAACGTGCTCCACATCCCTCCCTTATATGCATCTTAGCTTCCTCACTTCCCTTTTTTTCTTTTTTTTCTTTTTTTTTTTTTTTTTGGTTTTAAATTGCTGATTAAATATTTTATTTTTTTGGTCAAAATACTTTGTTTTCAATGATTAAATGATTTCTACACCATATATTTGGCACCTTTATTTCTCTTTAAATGCACTATAAATTCATATGATCTTGGAAAAATATATCCTAAAATACTAAGATTTGTATCATTTGAACTTTTATCTTATTCCATCAAATTAACCAAAGTATTAAAGATTTATTGTAAATTTACTGAAATCCGCCTAGGCCATCTAGGTGGCCGCTTAGGCCCTGCCTAGGCCCCTAAGCGCGCTAGGCCCCATCCTGCCACCCGACTAGTGCCTAACGTCTTTTAGAACCATGTTTCAAACAGACAACAACATTCTCAACTCAAGGGTTAGGGTTTTGTAGTACAATTACATACAAATTTCGAACTTGCATCACTCTCTCATTCCCTCCCTGTCGCTAAACTACAAAGTGAAGTTGTTGCTTCTTCTTCTTCTTCTTATTCTTCATTCTCTCATTCACCATAGCTATGGAGGTCGAGGTTGAATCAATGAATTGGTACATTATCACACCACGTCACTCTAAAGTGGTTGCTTCCCACCCTCAACAGGATGAGGTATTGCTGAAGGCTGGGCAAAGGTATTGCTTACTGATTTTCAAATTTTTTTTATATTAAATGTTTATATCTTATGATGGGTTTGTGGAGGAGGAGGTGGATGAGGATGATAAGGAGGATGATGATGTGGAGGTGGAGGATGAGGAGATGATGAGGATGATGATAAGGTGGAGGAAAATGAGGAGGATGATGATGAGGAGAGTGATGAGGAGGATGAGCTTAGTTAATTAAATATTAAAATAAATATATTAGTTAATTAACAATTTAGGATTCATTTTCCTTTTTAATGTTAAATGAACATAAGTGATGAGGAGGTGGAGGAAGAAAATGACGATGGGGAAAGTGATGAGGATGATGAGGGGGAGGATGATGATGAGGATAATGATAAGGAGGATGATGAGGATGATGAGGAGGATGAGCTTAGATAATTGAATATTAGACTAAATATTAGTTAATTAACAATTTAGAATGCATTTCTCTTTTTAATGTTAAATGAATATAAGTAATGACGAGGATGATGAGGAGGTGGAGTAGGAGGATGACGATGGGGAAGGTGATGAGGATGATGATAAGGAGGATGAAGAGGTGGAGGAGGAGGATGCCGATGGGGAAAGTGATGAGGATGATGATAAGGAGGATGATGAGGAGAATGAGAATGATGAGCATGAGTAGGAAGATGAAGAGGATAAGAGAGATATAGAAAACATTGGGATTTATGCGATTGATGGTCCAAATGGTTATCTGGCATAGAGGCAAGAGTTTTGAGTTTGGTTTGGCACCTTACAAGTTTATGGGTATCCTATGTAAGCTTAATCTTGTTTGTACAGGTCAAGCAAGATCAACAATATGTTGAGGTCCTTGGTTTCATTATTTGAAAGATGCATTGTTGATGCTGTTGTTGAAACAGTTAAGAAGTGTGATTATTTTGAGCGGTTGGTTCAAACCACAAAGACATGGAGAATTCCCTTCTCACTCTTTGTGTCACATGTCCTCCACTTGGTGCACCCTATGAAGATGAGGCACTTCTACTAATAAAGCAGAACATAATGCAGAAAGATGTTAAGGTTAAATCCCATATATTTAATTAGCAGACATCTATAAGTTTTCACTTCGGATTTTTTCTTGCTTTGATATATAAAATTTGTGTCTTTAATACAGATTGAATTGGAAAGTCGTGACAAAGTTAGAGGTTTTGCAGAATCTTTATGGGAGTCGGATAAAAATATAGAGGTTGTCCGACTTGAAAATGGCCTTGCAAAACTTCGAAATACCTTTGTCTTTACTAGGGTTGCAACTTACAACGACCTTGTACGAGCTCAAGAAACTGCAAAAACAAAAAAGTTGAATGTATGTGAAGTTGCATGCATACCTACACTATTTAAACATGTCTTCCCTTTGAACCAATTTTTCTAATAATATGCATTTTTCCATTGTAGATTTGGAAGGCTCATGTTGAATGACCAGTCGGCAACATCGAATAGAAAAAAGAGCTAAAGGTCATTTGCATAACTAATTGCATGAATTAATACCCTTCTAATGTTGTAAAATGTCGGATGATATATGTCGTGTTCTTTATTTTTCATGTATTGGTCACAGAAGTTTTGGACCATGGTAGATTTTATGTCGAATGTCGAGGATCAGACTGGACTTGTTCAATTATGTAGCTTGGTGTATATTACAGTCCCTAGTTCAATGGAAGCAGACAAGTTTTTAAGTGAGCAAATACTAAAGAAGGAACTTTCTGCCACAATTGTGCTTCTAGACTCTGAGGGCGAGATGATTAACTGTGATGAACTTGGAGGGTTAGTATTTCTTGTATGAGCAAATTCTGAAACGAGTATCAACGCTACCATGGTTCAAGTTTGATTCATAACCATCTTCTTTAGTCCTAGTATTTTGAAAACTTGTGTCTCTTTATTAAATCATTAAGTGGCCCGACCTTTCATTGACGTTGAAAGTTAGTGTTGGTGAAATTAGCATATTAATTTGGCTCTTTGGTTTGGTCTAGCTTGCAAGTTTTCTGTGTTAAAACTAGTTTCGTGCAACATTTTTGTGAATAACTTCCCTTGCTATTGCTTTGGTGAAGTATGGGAAAAGCAGATAGATGACAATGAAGAAAAGAAGAAAGCACTCAAGGAGTTACAGAAGTTGCAAGAAGAAGCACGAGAAAAAAGGAAGGGGATTTGGCACCAACTATTTAGTTTAAGGGCGTTAGATATAATTTTGTGTATATCTGCCATGGCTTTAATTAACAATTTAGGATACATTACCCTTTTTAATGTTAAATGAACATAAGTGATGAGGAGGATGATGAGGAGGTGGAGCAGGAGGATGACGATGGGGAAAGTGATGAGGATGATGAGGAAGAAGAAGAAGATGATGATGATAAGGAGGGTGATGAGGAGAATGAGAATGATGAGCTGGAGTAGGAGGAGGGTGAAGAGGATGAGAGAAATAGAGAAAACATGGGAATTTATGCGATTGGTGGTCCAAATGGTTATTTGGCCTAGAGGCAAGAGTTTGAGTTTGGTTTGGCATCTTGCAGGTTTATGGGTACCTTATGTAAGCTTAATCTTGTTTGTGCAGGTCAAGCAAGATCCACAATATGTTGAGGTCCTTGGTTGTGGGGAGACAAAAAATATAAAACGGTGCTTAGATTTTAGGCCGATTTGTGTAATCATGGTTTTCAACCCCTATATAACTTCCTTGGTCGACATCTCTCTTTCACTCTCTTGAACATTTTCAGTGCACTAAAAATGTTTGAAAGATTGAAAGGGAGGACCTTGACTAAGGAAGGCATATAGAGTTAAACCCATAATCACACAAACTAGACCAAAATCTAAAGCATGTTTCATGTCCTCTTCGCCCCACATGCACTTAATTCAAGCCACACATAGCTTCCCTTCCTAACCTCAAAAACAAAACAACAATTATGATTGACATCTAAAATTCAAAAGTTAATTATTGACATAGGAAGGTACATTATCTCATTGCTTCTTAGCCCAATATCACGAATGAGGCTATCCACACAAACCATGGTCGAATATGCCCAACAAAAGTTAGTGTCGCCTTGGTCCATCAAGGATGTCATAAGACTTCCTCAATCCACCATGTTCAAATTCAAGAAGTTTGGGACTAATGTGGACTCATTTTGTCTTGTATTGCGATTATCTTGAATTTTATTTTTTGATGTAAATCTCGTTCAAACATATTCAGGCCAAAATTCTATCCCCGATGCCTTACAGCTTTGCCTTATCCCCAGATGATGCGTGACCGAATCGTGGAAGACTGGTGACCTAATAGTGTGACCTCTGTGGGTTTGAGTTGCACCAGGCCTGCCTTCTGGCAGCACGAGAGAAGGTGAGAGATCCCAAACTTTGTTTCGTGACTCTATAACATAATTCAACTTGCCCGCATACTCCAAACTTCCCAAGTTTCGCCATTGTTGTACATTGACATATGGCATGGGATGTTTTATTCCCTCCAAAATCTATAGCCAATCGACCAAGTTGATAATCGTGGCTTGATATTCCTAACGTTTTTTAAATACAACTATATTTTTACAAAGTGTTATGACGAAGAATTTGGATCCGGATGTGATGTCACACGTAATCATAAAGTTATAGTTTGAACTAACTACACTAATTGTCAAATCCCTACTTATTAGTAATCAACTAATCACGGTTGGTCTTAAAATTAGACCTTCCAATCAAAATGGTCCATGAAATAGAAAGTCCATCAATTTAGTCTCCGTAATGGCTTCAGCAAACTTTTGAATCAGTGAATTTTTATTAGAACTAAAAGATTTCGTCCTCTTGCTTGAATATTAAGGCGTAATTTGTAGTTCGTTCATTTCTTGATTGGTTGGTTTTTCTGTTGCAGTAGTTTTGGATACTATACAATTTAGAAACTTAACTGTAGGTTTGAATGATTGAGGTGGAAAACACTTGCAACCCCCATGTATTTTCGATTGAAGATCACTTTTACAATAAATCATTCGAATTAGAGATCTTTTAGTAATGTATCCAATAAATCAACTATGTAGGTACCAAGTAGGATATTCATGATAAATTGTTGATTTTGACATATTTGGATGATTAAACGATCATCGATTTGGATGATTTGTTATAGGAATGATTTTCAAATAAAAACTAATAGATTGGACAGTTCTGATTATGAAATTTCTATTTTCCATGTTTCGAATACGTTATTTACAAGTGGGGAAATGAGATCCTCTCCCCAAGAGGGATGCAAGCATTATCCTTATCCAAACCTAATAACACCCGTAAGAAAACGAAAAGATTGACTAAATTAGCAAATAAAATCCAGCTTTAAGTATTCCTTAGGGAATGACTGACATCTATAGAATAAGTAAAATTACATGTAGACAGTTGTGCATAAAATCAGGCAATAAAATTTTCATACTGACATAGAACTCGTGAGCGGTCGAACAATGATGCAATAATGTGCATCATTGTTCAGAATTCGGAGAATAATGATTATTGGATGGTGGTGTAGGTGGGTGTAGATGTGGCATTTGTCACCGCAATTTATTTTAAGTAGACGAAGGTGGCGTTGGCCAAATATAAGTTGCGTTGTAGTTTAATTATTAAGTTAATTTCTTACTAGGTGGTAACCATCATCGCCTAGTAAGGGTGGTGAGCAAATTCAGACTCGAGTTACTTGGACCCATTTACGAAAATTTTGAGTCTCGTAATTATATAGCTTCTATGTAACAACCCGTTCCAAATTTTACGTTTTTATTTCATTTTAAAAGCGTGAATTTACGAAATTGCCCTAGAGGCAAGAACTTTGACTTCTGTTGACCATCGACTTGAGAGATGTGAGACTTATTCTTTTAGCATATTCTCGTAGTACTCATTGGTACGACCGTATAGGCGAAAACCGTTTGCGAGTCCGGATTATAACGGTATACTTATGGACGTTTGAAATTGGTTATTTAATTATTTGAATTCCCACCTTGTGGGATTAGTGGACCAATTAAATTAAGGGGACAAGGAACCAATTAGAAAATTTAAGTGAAGCTTGCAGCCAATCAGAAAGAAAGAAGAAAATAAAATAAAAAAAAATAAAAAAAAAGAGGGGGAAAAGCTTCCCGTGCACCCATACCCGCACCACTGCGAGTCCATTTTCCAAGGCCGATTCCGGCCAACTTCGGTGGAGTTTTTCGATGCCACCACCACCATCTTGAAGCTCTCATTCCCCTCTACAAAACCCACCCAAGAACCACCTTGATTAACCATGGTATGTGGCGGTTTGAGGCCACGAAAGTTGACGAAAATCAATGGTGCTCCGGCCACCCTTTTCGATTTTCCGGCAAATCGGCAAAGCGATGGCCGATGCCACCACTTAGGCTTTGTAGCCCATCATCCCAGGAGCAAAACCCAACCAACCTTGACCCCGTTGGACCACCGTAGACGACGAATCGACGTCGGGAAGTTTTAGGCACCCGCCGGCTTTGTGGGCAAAATTGACCATCTTCCGTCCACTTTTGGACTTCGTGGCAGGGACCAATCATTCGGACGCCTCGATGTGTGCGCTAGAGATTCATAGCATGGACTCCAGGTAAGTGGATCTTTTCCTTTTTATCGTATATATTGTTGAGAGTTCTATCGACACTTTTAAATTGATTAGGTATATTACTTTCATATATAATTATTGTGAATGCTTGAAGTACTATATGAACTACGAATGGCTTGATCCCTGTTTAGGGTACGTAGGCAGTCTAACGAGACGTTAGATGCAGCCATAAAATATTTGAGACAAAAGCCTTATTTGGGAAATTGAGTAATGCGAAGGAAATTGATAAAGACAAGTTTTAGTTTTGTGAATTAGTTAGTTAATTAGTGTTAATTGGGTTATTATGGATAATTATCCCTGAAAATAAGTAGTTCGGGAGTAGAGCGTTATTGATTGTACATTTCACACTGTATAGTTTATAATTGAAAATGCTACAACATGGTTGAGTGTTAGATTGCATCATGGTATATCCATATGTATTATACTTGCATATAATGATTGGGAATGCTTTCAAATGCAAAGGTGGACGCAGGACACCCAGGTAAGCTTCAGGTGAGTACATGTTGATGTTAGTGATGGTAGTGAGTACGATTGTGTTGAGATATAATATAAGCTCATAAACCTGCACCCCGGTGTTAGTGCTCCCGCCCGTGGCCAGGGCACAGTCCTTCACATGATGTTCACCTCCCACACCTTACGCTCACCTTGGATTCAAGGTAGGTGCACAGTCCTGTCGTACAGACCACTTTAGGTGGTTCCGACTCGTAGGTGACCCGCGATTATTCGCCCAGTCTTCACGTGATCGTAGCACTTGAGCGTAATTATTTACACCCAGTCCTGTCGTACAGACTACTTTAGGTGGTTCCGACTCGTGTGCAGGTATACTTATTGAGCTATTGGCTAGCCAGGATTGATGAGATATGGATAAGTCGTATAGGTCACTATAGGTGACTCCGACTTATATGCTAACCAGGATTGATGAGATATGGATAAGTCGTACAGGTCACTATAGGTGACTCCGACTTATATGCTAGCCAGGATTGATGAGATATGGATAAGTCGTACAGGTCACTGTAGGTGACTCCGACTTATATGCTAGCCATGATTGATGAGATATGGATAAGTTGTACATGTCATTCTAGATGACTCTGACTGATATATCACTTTGTATTGATTTAGTTCATTTGGCCTACTTATTAATGTATGGTGGAGTTGATGGAAAACCGTGGTTTTAGTCATTTTTGAGTATGGTTTGGATATATGTATATATGTTGTACTGTCTTATGGAAAACGATACGGGTTTTACATTTAGGGGCATTACTTTTACAGAGGTAATAACTTTGGGAAGCTTGGTTTTATTACTTACTCACACTTTCTGTTTGGTGCCCTCCAGGTTTTAGCTGTTGAGTTTGTATCGACAAGAATCTGTGGCGAATCTTAGTATTGATGGATATTTCTGAGGGTATGATTCTTACCCACACTACTGTACCTTACTTATGCTCTGACATCACGTGTGAAATGGGTTCGCTCCCACTCATAGCGCACTCTGGTACTTAGACACTTTTAGATTCAAATTTATTCACTTTTTCTACACTCTATCACATTTTATGGCTTCGTCACCGTCCAGGTGTCGGCCAGCACAGCTCGATTCAGGGTCCAAGTGGACTTTCTGGGTCGGGGCGTGTCATTCTAACTTTCCTAGGAATCATCAAAATGTATAGCTTTTAGAGAAAATATTGCTTAATAAATTGGATTTTCGTTTGATGTTCCTTTAAATTTGATATCATTCTGAGACGACCTTGGATTAATGAAAGTTATGTTAATCCAATTGTACATATTGGTGCTTTTGCTTTACTATCATGTCTAATTTGAAGTTTAATTTCTTGGT